TTTTTCCGCCACCGTTGCTAGTTCTCCCATATATTTCTGCTTGTCGGCTTTAATGCTTTTCTTCACTTCTCTGTTTGCTTCTGCGTAGTTTGCTTGTGCTTTGACTTTCTCTGCTCGTGTTCGGCTGTTGTTAATTGCTAGTTTCTTGTTCTTCCTTTCTTGAAGTTTGTCCAGGGTTCCCATAGAGATCCATTCCTTGTGATGGTGCTTCTTAGGACCAAGAACCTGCTGACACGTTGAAGTTAGTGCTTCTTTTATCCCTTTCCAGTTGTCCTCCAAAGTAGTTTCTTGTTCATTCAGTAAATCCTGTAGAGCTTGGAACCTGTTGTTGAGAGTTATCTTGAATTCATGGAGTTTGTCAGTATCTCGAAGGAAGGCTGTATTAAACCTTTGTAGTGCTGTTTGTCCAGTTGTCCAGTGTTTCTTTAGCTTCAGTCTCATCTTGGCCACAACCAGGTGGTGATCTGAAGCTATGTCAGCTCCTCTCCGGGTTCTCACATCTTCCATTGATCTTCGGAATTTTTTGTTGATACAGATGTGATCAATCTGGTTCTCTGTGGTGTGGTCCGGTGAGATCCATGTAGCTTTGTGTATGCGTTTGTGTGGGAATATTGTGCCGCCTATAACCAATTTGTTGAAAGCACATAGGTTTGCAAGTCTCTCCCCATTTTCATTTCTCTCTCCTAGTCCATGTCGTCCAATTACATCTTCATATCCTGTGTTGTCCACTCCAACTTTAGTATTTAGATCTCCCATAAGGATGGTGAGGTCCTTTCGTGAGCACTTCTCTATAATTGATTGCAGCCTTTCATAGAACTGATCTTTATCATCGTCGTTGCTATCATTGGTGGGTGCATAACATTGGGTAACATTCATTGTGATCCCTTGCTTCTTTGTTCTGAATGATGCTTTGATTATCCTGGGTCCATGAGATTCCCATCCCACAAGTGCATTTCGTGCTTCTTTGGACAGCATTAGAGCAACTCTCTGAGTGTGTGGCGCATTTTCCCCTTCGTGACCGGAGTACAGCAGCATCTCTCCTGTACCTAGCCTTTGTTGTCCAGATTGTGTCCAATGGGTTTCGCTGATTCCGAGTACTGCCAAGTTGTATCTCCTCATTTCCATTGCTATTTGGCTGGTCTTTCCTGTTTCCCACATTGTCCGGACGTTCCATGTACCTATAAAGAGTGTTGCTCTGGTTGTTAGAAGGTGCATCGGTCTCGTGACTTCCTAAGAATTTCGGCTTTCATCATGAGACGTCATTATTCCTTGAACTCCCAGGGCAGAGTTTAAATGGTTTGGATTATTTTTTCTGGTTAGCGTTTTTTTAGCGAGTTAGCTTTTCTACGGGATGGGGTCGCTAACCCCATGCCCAACCCTCCTCCTTTACCCGGGCTTGGGACCGGCAGTAACTCTAGAAGAGCTACAGGCGGAGTTTTCCCGATGACTAGTAATAGATATAAACCATAAGCTGAAATATTCCCAAGTATAGTTTTCAAGTAATTGATAAGACACTCGTTGAACATAAGGGAATCTTTCTAATCTGATTCATATTTATTTTTAATATCGAATCTTATAAACATAACCAATATTTCAGACCAATTTTTCGTAAGCCAGTCATTTTAAGGATTCACAGCTTGATTTAAACATTAACTCTTATCCATTGATATTTAAAGAGCAACCGCCTCGTTTTAATATCAAACTTTCCAGATCAACAAAAAGAAAAAAATCAAAACAATGAGTTGGAATCTTTTAATTCACATTCCTGACTTTAGTCAATTAACAATATTGTTCAACTATTGTTTATTAACATTTTCCATACTATTAGACTATATCAGTCATGGCTTTTTATGAAAACTTCTAGAATTCTTCTTAGTGTTAAACAATGAAGACTACTTTTGGGGACAATATTACACTAGACTGGAAATCTGTAAAGTTCGTACTTTTTTATTCTGTGAATTATAAGCCTTCATTTCATATATAAAATACCATCACATTCTCTCCTACTTCAGGTTACTGTAATCGAAATGTGACCCATGTATTCCATTTTTACTACTCATATGTCCTGATTTGAAATGTATTGTTTTCTCCCCATTCCAACAAAATTTGTTGTTTAATGTTATGATTGAAAGATGAATGTAATTTATTCATTTAAGCATAAATGTATTTAGGTAAATTGAAAACTTAGAAAGTTTCTATGATAATGAGTAAAACATTCACTTCATTTACTGTATACATATACTAGAAAGACGTCTTTGATATAGTGGATAATTAAAGTATTATTATTTTTATAGTTCAAATCATCAGTCAATTGACGATAGACCATCATGGAAAACCTGGAAGCACTGAACGGTCATTCCGTCCTATTATGGAACTCCTCAGCAGTGCGCATCCACGATCCCGCACCCACGAGATTCGAACTTAGGACCTACCATTTTCGCACCAGAGCACTTAACCGATAGACCACTGAGCTATTCGGCAAAACAAAATAGTTTCTACTAAAGTGAGGTATGTTGGAACAGAAATCTTTCAAAGAAAAATAATATTTTCTCAACAGATATTCATTCGGAACAAACTATATACTTCAATTTATTCTCTTTATAATACCTATTCGTTACGTATGCCCAACCACCGACTGCCCCGACGTGCAATGGTTCATGGTGTAGGAGTAGGTTGGAAGAAAGCTAGTAGCGGTCAGACCAAAATGTGGCACAAATCCATTAAGTCACTGACAAGTGGACTAAGCCATGTTGGTAGGTGTAGACTACCTGGTTGGGACTCGCGAAATGATATCAATCGATGGTTAGAGACCTTGAATGACATGGCTCAAAATCATTTGCAATGACGAAGGTGCATCCACTCTTTGTGTTCTGCCAAGTTCTAATTCTCCGAATTCTTCATGTCTCTATCTTTTTCTCTTTCCAAATTTATTTCACTGGGTTATACTACTTGAATAACATCTCCAAACTCTAATCTTTCCCATTAATGCTTATACTCTTACTACTTCTACCAATATGGGATTCGAATCGACAACTGCATCTCTGTGCTAATGTGGTATGGCAACTCGAACTGGTGTACGTACGTACGAAGTTCTACGTTGTGACTGACTGACTGATAAAACTTATTCTAGTATTTTATAAAATGTTTATCACCTAGAACATCCTTTATTCTGTTCCAAGGACATAATTTAGAATACTTTCAGTCAGCTGGATTAGTGCTATTTAAATATATCTATTTGACACATAGCGTCCTATTGATATATTGAAATATTTTAAATTTATTAATAGACAGTTATATCCTGAAATACGAGGTCACTAAGCACACAAATCGAGCTTATTTATACAATGATAGAAACGCCCTTGGGAGTCACAAAATAGTGTACTAAAAAATCCGTCAACCAATGACAGTCAAGGAATTCCGAGTGGGAAATGTTAGCTGTAAGTTAACTAAGCGTCTCTTAGCGCAAAAATATAAAATTCAAACTTTCAGAATAAAATTATAAAATTAGGGCCTCTAACCAAGTGAGTTCTGTAGATCTAACGTCCCCAACATAAGGAAGTAGTTCTTTTAACACAACTGCAAACCTTAGTAAAAAACTTTAACAGTCACATTTAACAAATCTTTCTTGATAATATATTTTTTAATAGTTAAAATTTGACACTAACATCGTTGCATTCCGTCTTTGTGGTCTAGAGGTCAAGCGTTTCCGCGCGAGACAGAATTTACGGGATTCGAGTCCAGAGAGCGGGGTCGTGGATGCTCACTGCTGAGGAGTCTCATACTAGGATTAAACGACCGTCCAGTGCTTCCAGGTTTTCTATGGTGGTCTAACTTTAATCGAATTATGAATTCAACTATTAAATTACTACAATCTACTCATAACCCCCTTTCTGAAAATACTTTTTATCCAATAGATGTTTTGTATATGCATCGATACTCATTTACATAATAAATTGTCTGTATTGAATAAGTTATCTTGACGATACTAAGATGAGGGGTTTTTCAAATCCTATGAAATAAATGATCATTTAATAGAACCAACTACACAGAACTTCAATTTCTATCCACAGACCTAAGTTGAATGAAAATTTATATGAAACCGCAATCCTGTTCAGTTTTGAATATCGTCATTTATATTTCTCCATAATAAACTTAAGTCTTGATATATGTTTATATCGAAAAAATGCAAAGTGTAACTTTGATATTGTTATTTCATCATATGAATATTGTTATTGTTTATAAAAGCACACTTTCAATATTCATTTAATTAAAAAATCGTTTGATAATATACAAATGTTTGTTAGATCGTTAAGAGTAATCAAAGTCTATGAATGTAGGTCATTTACGTCATGGAAAGTCATCAATTAAAACAAAAATGTAAAGTAGAATATTCTCTAACACTCTAACTTAACGGCCATTAACAATAAGCAATATGTATATTATACGTATCGCAATGATGAATTCACTAGCACTATTAAAGTACATAATTGTGACTAACCTCGAGAAATGATTTTCGAATTTATTGTGAAATTATGTAACCTATGGAATTCCCCTATATGGAGTATGAGATAAGTGTTACTACTGGGAATGAACAATAGTCCCGTAATATTGCGTATTGATAGGAGTAAGAAATGTAAACTACCGGATACTAAAATAGAAGCCCAAAGTTTAATTCTTTAGGGTAAAGGGTTAAATCTATTGTGAGGTCGTGAATGCATACTGCTAAAGTGTTCCATACTAGGAGAAAATAGTTTTTTCAGTATTTTCTAGTTGTCAATGGTTGTCCATTACGTGAAACTTTAAATTTAATAATTTCCATAACACAAAAATTTGTCTTCACTTATCTAGATAAAAGAAATATGTCATTGTTCAACCCTAATAGCGGCAGTAAATTTGAATGAATAAAAAGGAATCCACTGAATTACCATAAAACCTCTTGATACTTGAATTTAATATGATAATTTAATTATATAAGTCAAAAACTGTATATTATGACTTACCGACGATTGTTGCAAAAATGAATACACCAATGAGGTAAGACACGATTGTAAATGTGAGCCTAAATGTGAAATGAAAATAGATAGGAATTCGGGAAATCAGTATTCCATTCATTACTGATATATATATATACAAATAAAATACGTGGGGATATATTTCTTACCAATTTAGGTACGACAGTCTACTAAGAAATAAACAGTAGGTTCAAGTAGCTTTTAAATTTTAAGTAAATTATTAATCTTATAAATGACCACCAGATACAGGTAGCCCAATGAAATGTAAAAGCGAAATGAAACAATAAACAATGTATTGAAGCATAGTTTCTAAAATAACATTGTGAAAAAATAGTAATACCCTAATGTATACAAGCTTCCAAGTCATGGTACACGATAACATTTTAGTGTTTGGTTGACAGTTGACATGCATAGAGGCTAAATCTTAAATATTCCCTTAATTTGGTTAAATATTGAAATGACTTCATTCGTTTTGACAGTTAATTTCTATGTAATATATATGTGCCTGTAACCATGCATTCTATATCATGTCATAAAAAGATTATAAAACAGAATAGATTAGTCTTGACAATGAACAAAAGTGAATGTATCATATATTAAAACTAACCATCCTGTTTTATGAAATACTAAACATGAAAATGAGCGGATAGTTAACTTTTGATTTTTGTTGTTGTTCTTGTTGTGAAGATTAATGAAAAATCGCTGAAAAATTCCCATCATATTAAAACACAATTATATGAACGAAGAATATTCTTTTCATAGTTGAAAGCGTGAGTCAATTGAAGACAGATCGATATGGAAAACCTGGAAGCACTGAAAGACCGTTTAGTCCTATTATGGGACTCTTCAGTAATGTGAATCCACGACCTCGGCTCGCGAAATTCAGACCGAAGACCTATCAGTCTCGAGTCAGAGCACTTAACCGATAGATCACTGAGTCGGTATTCAATAGTGTTAATGTCTAACTCCAATCAACCGTTCACCAACTGTTTTCAGTGAGTTTCTATCTCACAACAGACTTGGTTTAAACTCCACTGGTCACTGCTTCTCAATAGAACTCCAGGAATTATCTCTTAAAGTCAGTCAATAGTGAGTATGTGATTATTATTCTGATAATATTCTTTTCAATAATTTCTCATCAGGTTCTACGATTATAACTCCAAATTAATAATCCATATAAAACTGGCTAACTTTAAGGCAGAGTACATCATAAGAAAAATTGTAACATCTGAATCAAGGGGTGTTTGTAACGTAAAATTGAATCGTTAGTGTTGGGATGATTAATTTGAAGTGTTAACTAGAATCAGTTTATAAGTGAAATGAAATTGTGAGATGAATGATCAGGATAAAGACAGTTGACATGGGATTACAAATCCGAAATTACATAATATGTAGAATAATATGGATGAGGTCAGATATAGTAAATAGGGTTGGATGCTGAATAAATTTCTCTAAAAAGTTGGCAAGTGTAATAATAATAATAATAATAATAATAATAATAATAATAATAATAATAATAATAATAATGGAATGATGTGTAGATAAAATAAGTTTAGGATATCAAAATGAACATTAATCAGATTAATGTAACCATATTATAAAATTGATTATTAACAAGTTGACCCTGAAGTTGGCCAGGGTAAAATGAGCGGCTGAAAATATTTCTTTTGGATGCGCAACTCTGGATTTACATCTACACATCTTACCAGTCATTATTATTATTCTTATCACACTTGCCAACTTTTTAGAGAAATTTATTCAGCATCTAACCCTATTTACTATATCTGACCTCATTCATATTATTCTACATATTATGTAATTTCGGATTTGTAATCCCATGTCAACTGTCTTTATCCTGATCATTCATCTCACAATTTCATTTCACTTATAAACTGATTCTAGTTAACACTTCAAATTAATCATCCCAACATTAATGATTCAATTTTATTTTATCTTACAAACACCCCTTGATTCAGATGTTACAATTTTTCTTATGATGTACTCTGCCTTAAAGTTGGCCAGTTTTATATGGATTATTAATTTGGAGTTATAATCGTAGAACCTGATGAGAAATTATTAAAAACAATATTCTTCGTTCATATAATTGTGTATTAATGAAAAAAGCAATTAATGTAAAAGCACCATAAGAGATGCTTATTTGATAAGGTGTAAGTATTTTTAGGTTGAATGTAAGAATGTTTTTAAGTAAAATGTGAGAGGACAGAAACATAAATTAGTAGTTGGATGCCGGATCAGTGGTCTATCGGTTAAGTGCTCTGGTGCGAGGTTGTTAGGTCCTGGGTTCGAATCTCGCGAGGCGCGTTCTTGGGTGCGCACTGCTGAGGAGTCTCATAATAAGATGAAATGACAAACTAGTCATGCAAAGCACATATTTAAGAAACTTTCATATGTTTGATGAAAACATGCAAAACAAACAAATTAACCTGATTTTATCAAAACTGACTTGTTGTTTTAAAAAAATAGGAACATGGATAATAGGTACAGGGCAATTTTATCCAAATTAGAAGTAATTCAGGAAGATCATATTTTCACTGATAAACACTTCAAATTCACGTAATATTGTTTGTTTGAATCTTCTCATTGATGTTTAGGACTGCAGCTGGTCAGTATGGACAGTCAGCCACCTGAACAATCAAATGGCTATCAGGACTAAGTAGCTGAGTGGATAATGTGATGGCGTTTGAAGAGAACAGTACTGGGTTCGAGTCCCAGAGTGAACATTAACTGTAAGATGCAGTTACATCCAGCTGACGAGTCCCGAATAGGAAGAAACGCGAGTCCTGGATTCTACTACTAGCCACTATTCATCTTTGATAAACACATCATTTTTTATTACGAAAAGTGTATCCATTATAAATAACGTCACTTGTAATGATGAGATTATTGATTGTATAATTGGTTATTAATTCAATGTTACTCATCAAATGTTATCGGATTACCATAGGAAACCTTTACAATACTAAATATCAATAATTGATAACATTAATAACTAAATTTCTTTTTATCTCGTTGGAAACAACTATCATAAAATTATTTTATCAATAGTATCCATTACTGCTTGTACATATTCTTTGTCCTAAATTGAAAAAGCCTATTTATTTTGTAGTATAGACGACATTTAAATGTTAATGCAGTATTAGTTATTATATTCATTAAACTGAAAACTTTACGAAAGAGTTCATGTTGATGGTTTTGATATTTCCTCAGTTTTCTTGTATTTAGTGTAAAATATCCATTTAGATCAGTTCCTCTTTAACAATAATGTTAAAAAAGACAAATGACAGTGACTTGAATCACACTGTTTGGTGATATGGAATAAACTATTTTTAGATGACAAAAATATCCTTAAAGTCACAGATTATTTGATAAAATGTAGAAAATCTAGACCCATAGTTTCTGAATAATGGAATTAAGAATAATTACTGAATGGCTTCGTATGACATCTTAGTGATCCAGAGGTTGGGTATTCGTACACGATACCGAAGGTTCTGGATCCCAATCCCCTCTGCCAATAACATATGAATCACAAACGAAATCAATATTAACAATCAGAATCTAAAACATTTGTTACTATCTTATTATTATTATTATTATTATTATTATTTATACACATAAATATTGGTACAAGGAAGCACCAAATACATATGTGTCACACAAATCAAATGAGATTTGTGTAAAGGCTGTGATACTGACCAGGTGCCCAAACTGAAGCTGGTGGTCTTCTACGGGGGCCACAACCGGAGCCTTTGACCTAATGGTCTGATCTACAAGGCAGTGGAGCATCGTGAGGAGATGCAGTCCCATGGTAGCCGGTGATCAACGATTGATTCATACACCATATGTTCCTTCAGGATACTGGAGCCCATGTGCACCATTGGTTTGGAATCAGGGTTTTCTAACTCCCCTAAGTGGACTTTCCGTGTCCACCAAGCCGATTAAAGCGCCGGATATTCACTTTGCGTCCTCTCAATTTTGTAAACAACACCCCTGCCATCAGAAGGCAGTGAGTAGGACTTCCCTGTCAGAGGCTATATACGCGTGGCCATGTGAGAGCGTTTCGAGAAGGAGAGTGGACACTCTATCTATCTCTCCACACTATATAGTGCTTTTAGATTTAACCTAAAACGTTTCCTATGTTGATACATGATGTAAGTAACTTTTAAAGAATAACTATAATACAGTAATTGAAAATTTATTGTAATAATAATCTTTCAAAAACTATTTTATGTTAAATGGAAATATTTCTAAGTAGACATTTATCATTTTATATTATTCATATTCTACATTGGATAAACGGCTATTTCCAGAGGAACTCCAAGATCATTTCAAGTAGTTATACTAAATAAAGAACGTTTATAAATCAGGCACTACTTAATAATGTACCGGATTTACATTCGGTCAGTTTGATACATTAAAAGACTATTGTGATTAGATATTGCTGACACTCTACATTTCTGTCGGTTAGTTGTGTTCATGGGTAATAGATATACATTAAGATATTATTAAATATTTTATTTAGAATATAATTACAAAAATGCTCTGAGGTATTCACCAAATTTCTACTTTTTATCTGATTGAAGTCTCTTAGTCTAGAGGTGTAGAGTTTTAACTAATAATAATGTTGATAATGAAAGCTAACAGATATAAAACAGCTTCAACCATTATGGTGACAAATATATACGTTTATCTGTTTATCTCATGTCACTTCTCAAAAGATAGTGCTCTCTAAGTAATAAAGCCTGAAATGTACTTGTTATATAGATTGCTTGAGTGAGTATGTGCCCTGTTTATATATGGGCGCGATATAGAGCACCAATGGGAGAGGCGGTGATTTATCGATCATGCCAATGACACACAAAACCTGTGCGAGCAGTCTAGAGCAGTTATCGATCCTGCTATCCGCTTAGCCCAGCCATTTAAGTCCAGAACACCAATAACAGCGTCTGCAATATGAATCATTATTCTCAAACATATTGGGTTTATATATCAAACAAACTGACCATATAGTACCATAAAATAGAAAATA